CCTCTTCCGGTCGTAGACCCTCTACAGGTGTGGGACACCGCAGTGGAGGGGAAGATGGGTTAAAAAACAAAAGGAGAAATATTTTTAGAGACAGAATAACTGGTCGCATATTTATTTTTACTAGACATGTTCAGTAGATGTAGGAATGATGATATTGAGCCAGCCAGAAGAAGTAGAATTGCATGTATTAATGGTGGGAAGCTTTTATATAAAGGTAAAGATAGTATACAAACAGAAGGGAACTGAAATATGAGCTGCTTGACAATTAGGCAAATACACCCATCAGAGAGGGTGGTATTCAGCTTCTTTTTTCCCAATAAAATAGCAAACGAGGTGAGAGTTGGTATGAGGGGAAGGAGATATTTATAAAGATGAGAGGAAGGACAATGTAAAAGAGTAAATGCACAGTGAAAAAATCAGGAATGTAAAATTACCTGTCCACGCAGATTCATTTCATACCCACCCTTCCATGTGAGATAGTGTTATTATTTGATCCATTGCACATATGTGAAAATAGAAGCACATTTTGCCCAAAGCCTAAGGGTTGAGTAGCAATCAATTTACCACTTTTTTTTTACAATGGTAGATGAATATATAAGAAACCATTTGCCATTTCAACATACTTCATAGGTAAAATTTATTGACATTTAATTTATTCAAAATATTGTGAAAACAGAACCAGTACTTGCGTCCAATTTTCATATTACCCTTAGCAAAAACTCAGAGGTTCCTCAGCAGTGGACAGTAAATGAAATATTACAATATCTGTCTTTTGTGACTGGCTTATTTCTGTTGGCATGATATTGATAAAGTTCATCCCTATGGTAGCATGTATCAGGGTATCACTTCTGTTTAAGGCTGAGTAATACTCCATTGGATCTTAGAAAAGTTTCCTAGTAGGATGATAAACTATTGAAGCATTTTCAATGGGCATATGAAATGATCAGGGGTGCCTTTTGAAAAAGTATTACTCATAGAATGGAACTAAATGAGTCTATGGTGGTTAGGAATAGGATGAAGGTTTAAAAACTGGAGGCAAGTGAATAACATCATTTGGAGACTTAAAGTAGAGCACTTTCGGATTGATTCATTGTGAAGCATGTAGAATCATGTCAAAATATGACGTTTCTGGTCCCAGAATTGAAACCCTGAATGGATGGCAACATCATTAACTGACAGAGAGCAGGTTTGGGAAATAAAAGATTCTAAGTTCTATACTACTAATGTTAGGGACTTTGAGCCACCCCAGTGACGGTGCAAAATAGAGAATTGGCTATACAAGTGTGTCGCTGGAAATACAAAATATTAGGTAGGGCTAGAGATGATAATTAAACTATATTAAGGACAGACTGCCCTGGAAAAAACATACCACGACAGAAAAACAGAGGCAGTATCTTGAAGAACTTGACATTTTAAAGGCTGGGTAGCAGAAGACATGGCTAGAAGAAGACTTGACCGTGACTTGTCAGAGAACTAGAAGGAAATACAGAAGACTGTAGTGTTAAGGCAAATAGAACCTTTGAAGGAGAGGGCATGGTCAGCAAGGCCCAATGTTGAGAAGGCACCTGAGAATTAAAATACTCACTCAATACAGAAATGGGAAAACGTTTGTTGACACTGACCAGGATTATTGCTATAAAATAGTGAAGGCATATACTCTAGGGGACGTGTTGGATGAACTGGAAGTGAGGAAGTTGCTATAAGACATACGATACATTTTGAACAATGTCTAGCGAAAAGGAAAAGGGAAAAGAAGATGATAGTGAGACTCTGGGTGGGCATTTTTAAAGGAGAGAGCCGTGAGCTTGTGCACATATACAAGAAGCAGAGTTTCCAGTCAACAGACAGTCATTTAAATTTTGGAAATAATAGAGGGACTGCGGACAATGTGAGATGGGGTAGGAAGCTGGAATTCCCAATCAAAGCAAAACAGTTGCCCAGGCAGGCGCTGTGCAATAGTGCACAGAACAAGAGAACCCAGGCACACAGATAGGGTTATGCTCATGCAGTCCTTTGCCCATGTATTTATTGTTGTTTTATTTCCTTTTTATTCATTTGAAAGCGTACACTATAAGAATTTTGACTGCTCCTCTCCTTTATCATGCCTGTTGCTTGTATTTCAATATTTTGTGATTTATGATACTCATAAAAAGGGGCTTTAAAAGGCTATCGATCAGGGAGGAGATGAGCCAGTCAGGGTGCGATGTAGCAACGATGAAAAATACAACTTTCCTCTGGTTCCTAAATGCTTCCTCCCCACCCCCACTATCATGATCCGAATTCTACCTTGCAAGTCTGGCTAGACCAGAGCATGTACATTGGCACAGATAGGAACTGGAAACACAGGGAATCCAGGGCAGATGATCCCTTCAGGATCAGTGGTGTGAGTGGCGATACTGGAAGGGTAGAGGGAAAGAGGGAACTGATTCCAAGGAACTATATGTGACTTCCTCCCTGAGGGACGGACAACAGAAAAGTGGGTGAAGGGAGACATCGGACAGGGCAAGATATGTCAAAATAATAATTTATAAATTATCAAGGGCTCATGAGGGAGGGGAGAGTGAGGAGGGAGGGGAAAAATGAGGACCTAATCCCGGGGGCTTAAGTGGAGAGGAAATGTTTTGAGAATGATGAGGGCAATGAATGTACAAATGTGCTTTGCACAATTGATGTATGTATGGAGTGTGATAAGAGCCGTATGATCCCCTAATAAAATGATTTAAAAAGGCCATAGAAAAAATGGAATTCAAATATAATGGACTTCTCAACGAAGTTTTCAAATCCCCCAGATGAAAATGTAAATCTTTATATTTTGTGTATTTTTATCTAGAAAGGTTTTCTTCAAGTAGTTTATAAAAGCACTCTTCAAAATATCTTAACATATTTTGGAAGACACTCATGATTTCATCTTTAACTTTGAATCGTGATGCCCTAGGAAGTCATATTTATATTAGATTTGAAAGAGTACTCTACGCCTAGCCTGCCTCCACCAACACGACCCGCCTCACTGGTTTTGGTTGTGCTTAATTAGAACATGCTGTCCCCTGTCAGCTTTTAAGCTCACGGCGAAACCAACGGTGTGCTGTGATCAAGGAGCATTTCCTTGTGCGGGATCAAAGCTGCCTATGCCTCTGGTCAGCTTCTCCATTCTTGCACTGGAAGCAAGGCAAACGAACTGCTCATCTCAAATACATGTGCCCCTCTTCTACACGAACCATTCAGCATGATTCCTGGATACATACTTTTGATGATTTTATTAATTTCTCAGTTTAAAGGTATGTGCTAATGTGCTCATTAGGATTGTGCTATTCTACTATGAGATAGTGTCTCTTTAGTCACAAAGTTTAAATGGAAAATGATAAAACATTAAATATCCATTAATGTTTTTGCTGTAAACATTCCAAAAGGAATAGCATTGTCAATCTTCTCGCTTAATACTGTGCTTTTTCCCCCTAGTGTTAAATTAAATGTAAGATGAACCATTAAAAATAATGAAAATACAGATAGCAAGAAAAATAAAAGTTTTCATCTTTACCAGTATTATTTCACCAGTAATGAAACCCTATTAATGTTGTATTGGATTTTAATGCTGCTGTGAAATGCCTGCAAAGACTCGGCAGAGCAAAGAACAGTTCATCCATGTTTTATTTACAAGAAGATGAGCTGATTAGTCTTGGGTTGGTTTGGGAGAAGTATACAGGGTGTTGTTTTTTGGGGGGAAGGGGTGTTTGGTTTGTTTTCCAACTCAATTTCTATGGAAGATTATTATAAAAGGAATTAATTATCAAGAGCAGCACCATGTGTTTGTTATTAAAGAATTCTAGATGTCAATAATCTCCTTGATTGGAATAAACTACAGAAAACCCAGTAAAAATGTGAAGAAATTTTCTGTGAATCAAATATATGTGATTATCTTGTATTCTTAAGACTTGCATTCTTCCTTAAAAACAGAGTATGAAACTTTGAAATGAAGGTTGTGATTAATTAATATCTTACTATTAAAAAACTGTCATTGAGTCAATTCTGACTCATAGCTACTTCATACTTCCAGCATAGACAAAGGCTATATATTTTAAATATTTTGTCATCTGCAGTGTCATCCAAAGCCAGCATTCTTCACTCTTTTGTTACCAAGCTCTTTAAGAACTGTTTGGAGAAGAAATTTGGGTAATATCTCGCTATATCTGACATAGTACAAAAGACAGATCTAGGTGTAATATTAACCAAACTCAATTGCCACCGAGCCGATGGTGACATTGACTGTAGAGGACCAGGAAGAGCTGCCCCAGTGAGTTTCCAAGATTAGGACTCTTTACGAGAGTGGAAAGCCTCATCTTTCTCCCTCAGAGCGGCTGGTGGTTTCAAACTCTGACCGAAGCCCAACACAGTAATGACGAAACCACCCTGGCTTCTATTTCTTTCTAAGGAGGCATCAACAAGTTCATGGTAAAATTCCATCATTTATTAATTCCAATTTTGATGAAGTTTTTGAGACCCCCCTATGTACTTTGGAGGATGCCCTCATGTAGCAGGCTATACATTGAGCTGCTAACCTCAGGCTCAGTGGTTTGAACCCACCAGTTCTTAGAAGAAAATGAGCCTGTCAGCTCTAAGTTTGTAGATTTAAAGTCTCAGGACCAAAAGGGCATTTCTAGCCTGTCCTATGCAGTCACCATGCATTGGAATCGACACAATGAGCTGTTTACAAGGTGAAAGTATTTGATATTTAGATCGCTTCCTCTTTGAAAGAACCCTGGTGGCTCAGTGGGTAAGTGCTCAGTTGCCAACCAAGAGATTAGTGGTTTGAATCCACTAGTAAATCTTCAAGAGAGATTTGTGGCAGTCTGCTTCCATAAAGATTAGAGCCTTGGGAGCCCTATAGGGCAGTTCTGCTCTGTCAATAGGACCGCTGTGACCTAGAAGTGACTGGACCCCACACAACCTCTCTGAAAGGAAAGAAATACTCAGGAATAGGTTAAGTGCCCACTGGAAGATTTGGTACTCAGTTTCTTTAGCAGCTCAGAATGAAATAATCACATCCTAAAAATATGTTGAAAATGTACACAGCTTTTTTCTGAGAAACAATGGTATTTTGAGTAGTGTGGTGGCCTGAACCTAGAATTTAGACTTGAAAGAGACCATTGTGATGAAAATAAATAAAACTAAAATTAACCTTATATGGGTCTATCTCTGCCTTAACCTGACGAGTTGTCATGTAACGTTCGCTGATGCACATGATACAGAGGAAAGTTCAGTTCATCAACATTAAGAGACCAAATTATAAGGGAGAATCTCAATATAGTCTATGGAGGACTGAGTCTAAAAGTCCCTGTTCTTCACCTATCATTTGCCTTCAAGGGCTTTAAAAAATTTTTTGTAATGAGCATCTAAATTTGGAAGCTCCACAATGGGGAGTAGCATTTGAAGAAGTTTGGAAGGTTCTACATTGAGAAAAGTGTAAATAAAAGAACTATTCCTAAACATTTGATAGACTATTATACAAGCAAAATTTACCTTTATTTTTTCTGTTTCCAGTGTGTGGAATAAGAACCTGAGCACCACTAGGGGGAACACAAGGAGTTTTCAGTTCCACCTGGGAAAATTGAGGGGCAGCTACAATCAGAGAAATACAGAAAGAAAATAGAATACTTGCTTCCATGAGTACAGTTGAGGTCCGTGTCAAGGATGTTTGTAGGACATTATAAAATAGAGTAGGGCACAGATAAGTGGATTGTTCACCTTGGGGTGGTCTGACTCTATGAAATACTACATCGCTCCTAAAGTCTCTGGCCCACACTGGGAAGCAGGAAGGAATATATGTTTCCTAAGTACCAACAATGCAACCGGCACTCTTTTAGCCATTAGGCACTTGGTTACACTTTGAAAAAGAATCTTCATTTTATATATAGGGAAATTAAGACTAATATTTACAGATGACAGAAATTAGTTATGCTTTTAATGGTCACACTGCAAATAAACTGGTAAAACTTTGAACCAAGCTTAGAGCAGACTATAAAAAGCTTGTACTTTTTCTTTTACATCACTATTTAACTACTATTGCCATGCGTTGTTGAGTTTATTGCAACTCTTAGCAACTCTCCAAGACAGAACGTTTTAGCTCCATCAGGGTTTCTGGGCCTAAATCTTGATCTGAGTAGATCTCCTGGTCTTTTTCCAGGGGAGCAGCTGATGGGTTCAAACTGCAGACCTTTCTGTTAGCACCGGAATGCGTAACTATTGCCTCACCTGGTGCTACGCAGAGTTCCCTTCACAAACATCTACAAGCTTGAGAGCGGTCCTAGTCATCTATTGGGTTATGTGTTAGGCTACTAACCCTTAGGTTAGAGGTTCAAAACCACCAGACCTCTCTGGAGAAAAAAGATGAGGCTTCTTGCTCCTATAAAGTTTTACAGTCTTGGACACCCACAAGGGCAGTTCTATTCTGACCTATCCGGTCATTATGGATTAGAATCAATTCAATGGCAGTGGATTGTTTTGCTTTAAGTAGAAGTTTATGTTTAGCAATAACTCTTAACAGTTACCATTGCTGTCAGGTCTACTCCGTCTCATAGTGGACCTCTTAGTATCAGAATAGGATTCTCACCCCAGGTCTTTCAATGACTGGTGATTTGGAAGTAGATTGCCAGAACTTTTTCTGCAAGCTATCTCTGAATCAGAACTTTCTTCCAAACTTGTAGTTCACTGCACAGCCCTATTGGACCACCCAGGTACTAAAACTAACTCAACACTGAAAACAAGTCCATTCTGACTCAGAGAGACCACATAGGACAGGGAAGAATTGTTCCTGTGGGTTCCTGAGGCAATAATCTTTGGGGGGAACAAGAACCCTCATCTTTCTTCTGCTGGTGGGTTCTAACTGCTCACCTTGCAGTTTGTAGCCCAGGGTATAACTCACTACACCACCAAGGCTCCCTCAACTAACTCAATGTGCCTATACATTTCTTCAAAGAATAAGAGCTTTGATTTAGCTATGGTAACTAAGGCCTCAGATGCAAATATCCCTGGAAAATATCATTCAGTAATTGACACTGAAACTGGCTTTCCTTAAAGGTTAAACTCAGAGACAGTCGGTAAGAGAATAAGATGTCAACTGCAGCAATTAAAAAAAGATGAGAGACTGGTATCTTTGTTTTCTACTTTATGATTTTCCTACTCTGTAAATATTAGTCTCAATTTCCTTGACAAGAAAGGGAATACTATTCCTTATCAATCATGGTGTCAATTGGTAGTAAGTGAACTCAAAGAGTAATTCTGCATATATATGTAAATGTCAACTGAATCCTTATTCTGATTTCTTCCTTTTAGAAAAAATAATCCTTGGAGTAAATGGTCAAGAACTAGTTTATCTTAAAAGGCTACCTCTGGTGCACAAGCGAGATGTGGAGCACATGCATGATTCTGGCATACAGGTACAAGTTTTGAATTAATGAAATGATTTATTGGTTTCACATAGCACTTGGATATTGCCTCTTCCTCCAACTCAGAAGCAAACAGAAAGAACTGTGCCCCTCGCTCTGTTTATAGCATGTGTTTAGGAGGAAGCAATCCCGCCATAAATTAGGAAAGAAAAAAGGAGTAAGCAGAAGTAACCTCCCAGTTGCCTTCAGAATTCGGCGTCGCGTGGGGTCAGCATTGGGTTGGTAACCTAAAGGTCTCTACTCCAAATCCACATGCTGCTCCCAGGAAGAAAATTGAGGCTATCAGTTCCTGTACAGATTTACAATCTCAGAAACCCTATGTAAGGTCTATGAGTTGAAATTGAATTGACAGCAGCAGGCTTTGGGGTTTTGTATTTTAAATTTCCCAGTTCACATGAGAAGTTCTATCAATGTTTGGGTCTACATTTTCAGGCTGAATCAGGGTAACCTCATTTGTATACTTTGTTTTCTTGTCACTGCCATTGAGTCGACGGAGACACAGAGTGACCCTATAGGACCGGGTAGAACTGGCCCTGTGATGTCTGAGACTCTCGCTCTTCACTGGGGTAGATAGCTACATCTTTCCCCTCAGAGCAGATAGCAGTTTTGAACTGCAGTCCTTGTGGTTAACAGCCCAACTCATAACCACTAGGCCACCAGAGCTCCTTTTGCTTTCTTAGTAATCTGATAATGCAGTTTTTCATTTCTCTTTACATATTCTGCAATAAATCTGGGCAACTTTGACAGGTACAAGGAAGGCCTTCTGGATTTGTGGCTTACAACCGTATTCACTCATGTCAACATATTTAAAATATTAGCTTAAAACTAATGAATATGTTCATAGACAGGTTATGCACATATAATGACCATCCTGGAAGTGAGGTGGTTTTCTTTTGCCCATTATTACAAAATACACCAGATGAATGTCCTTCGTACTTCTCTTTGTTACGATGGTCTCAGCTGTGGCATGAATTCCAAATCAGGGCAGCCCCATGTGAACAGGGTAGAACTACTCCTTAGGGCTGAGCTTGTGGAAGCAAATCATGGGCCAGTCTACCAAGTGCCTCTGAATAGCTGAAACATCAATCTTTCAACAAGTAGTGGGGTTCTTCACTCTTCCCCACACCGCCCAGGAGTTCTCGTCAGGCACTGGCGTTTAAGGCAGTAGGCTTTCATTTGATACATGTGATCAGGGGTATTTGCCCCAACACACTCTGGAAGAGGAAAACCTTCCCAGGGACACAACTCTTTTGTCCTTTTTAGTTAGAGTAATCAACCTTCCTATTACTCACATCTCAGATTTTTCCGTCATGAAAAAGAGTTTTCAATGTTCCAGTGGTCCCAATGAGACCGTTTTCTCTTTTCCCCATGTCTTGAGATGGTAGAAAAACAACAGTCTATTCTTACCTTCTTGGAAATAATGTCTCCAGTAATTCTCTTTGCAGATAAACTATCTCCGGCTCCCGTTCTCGCCTTCTCAAGCCATTGTCTTCCTAGACGTTGGCACATCGCTTAAAAAGGAAACCAGCTTTTCACCACTTAGTTTGCTTTTCTCTCTTGGTTATCTCTCCTGCCACTTACTATTGTCTTAAGATATCATCAAGGCTGATATTAGAAAGTTCCTTTATAAAAATGAAAAATGAACTTGGAGGCCCCTTTCGTGGCACACAATGTAAAAAGTACTGCAAAAAATAAAACCTTTGACATGTGTCCAGTGGACACAGGAGTGAGCTCAAAGACCCTCAGAGATCAGACTGGGTCAAATTGAGTAAAACATTAAATGCTATAGTAGTAGCAGCATTGATGCACTTGAATTATGGTACTGTTGAATGGTATTGAATATCCTATGGATGCCCAAGGGGAAAACAAACCAACAAAAACCATCTCTCTTGGAAGAAGTACAGCCAGAATCCTCCTTAGAATCAAGGATGGTATGACTTCATGTCTCATGCATTTGGATGCATTATCAGCAGAGACGAGTCCGTGGAAAAGGACCGCATCCTTGGCAAAGCAAAAGGGAAGTGAGGAAGAAGACACTTGAGATGTGTGTTAGGCTGGTTGACTGGAGAAACAAATCCAGTATCGCTCATATATGTATAAGTGAGAGTTTTATATCAAGAAGTAATCACATTATTAAGAAAACATCCCTTCCCATTCCACCTGAAGTCCATAAGGTTATACTAATCCTTAAGTGCGTCTTGAGACTCACATAGGAACATGCAATGATGCAGAATGCGGGAAGACCACAGGGCAGTGGTCCAAAGTCCACATGGGTCCACGGTCGGTGGAAACATGTTAGGGCTTTGGCAGCTCTCAGGGTGGCCAGCAAACAGGAAGGTGAAGGCAGAGAGAGGAGAGGGTTCCCGGGGCTCTCCTTATGAGAAGGCTGCGCCCACAAGAAGGCACCATCAGTCTGTAACCTGATTGACAGTTTGGAAACACCCTAAACTTTTATGTTTTCAGAAGTTGGCATAAATCTACCTAAATACCACAAGATGGATTGACACGGTGGCTGCAATAATGCACTGAGGCATAGCAACAATGGTGAGGGTGCAGCAGGCCTGGGCAGTGGTTCCGTCTGTTGCAGATAGAGTCCCTGTGAGTAGGTCTACGCACCTAAAAACAACTCATAGATTATCACCAAACGTATAAAGATGTGTCTAGGAGTCCACATTGCTATACATAAATGATGGAGTAAATAAACAAAAAAGGGGGTGGAAAGAAGCACAGACAAACCTTCTATACAGAAGGATCCAAATAAGCTCTGTAGAAACGTTTCTTCAAGGAGATAAGCAAAACCCTTAACCCCTTATTGTGGGCTGCATGTAGTCACCTCCTTCCCAAGAGTACAGAATCTACATGCATACCTACATACGTAAGAAGACGATTCAAAAGATTTGTGGGGGGAAAAAACTGTTATGTTTTAATCCTATTTTCCCCCAATTTTTAAGTGTGTGTGTGTGTTTCTGAAGGGTCTGAAAACTAAGACCCTGCTGCCAACTTGATTCTGACTCACAGAGACCCTGTAGGACTGAGGAGAAGGGCCTCACGTCATTTCCTAGGCTGTGAATCATTTCGGAAGCAGACTGCCCAACCGTTTCCTGCCGAGAAGCTGGTGGGTTTCTCTGTCAGCCGTCAGGTGAACAATCCAGCCTTTAATCCGGCTGCACCACGAGTGTATATATGCATATTTATCTCTTTTGATGTATATTTATCTGTATCTATCTAGCTATAGAAAATTGATCTATACATAGAAATTCCACGGAATGGAAAGAATATATAATATATAAATATGGATGAAGGGGAAATGTGCATTTTCCAATTATTTTGTTTTATAATTAGGAAAAAAAGGTAATAAATTTAAAAGAAAATTTTCCATATACTATTAACTCTATTATAAATTCAGTTTTTTCAATATTTATAGTTTTTACTGGAAAGACTGCTTTTACAGGGCCATAGGAGACCTGTACAATTCCTTTCTGATCCACTACTGGCTCAAATACACACAAAATCGACATTGTTTTTCAGGAAGCCTATGAAGAAGAATTGATGTATGAACTAGTGCTAAACAGGAAAACCATAATCCTTCACCTTGTAAGAACAAGGTAAGTTCTATTGCAATGCAATATTTTATACATGTGGTCAAAATTAACTCAACTTTAGTAAAGACTGCTACAGAAGTGACCAAGTTATAGCTATCTATAGGTAAACTTGTTTATTAGTCTACATCAGTCTATTTTATACCTTTAGAGTTCAGCATTTTTAGTTTCTCTTTTGAAGTAAATTTCCATACAATGAAATAAAAAAATCATTAGTGTATATCCAATTAATTTTGATAAATGTATGCAGCCGAATTACCCAAATACCTACAAAAATATAGAACCATAACTCCAGAAAATTTGGTCATACTTCTTTCTCATCAACTTCTCTTCAGCCCTATCAATATTAGTTTTTTTCCACATCATAGATTAATTTTGCCTGGTCTGGAAATCATTAGAAATGGAATACATGAGTCATAATATTCTGTGAAAGATTTCTTTATTTCAGGACAATGTTATTGTAATTTATACATACTCTGACCTGCAACAGAAGTGTGGTTCTTTTATCTTTCAAGTAATATTCCATTGTATAAATAGACTAGAGTTTATCCATTTTCCTACTGATAACACAAGGGTTGTTTCCTATGTTATCACGAATTCTATAGGAATTGTACAAGCCTTGTTATAGGCCTATATTTTTATTTCTATTTGGTGAATATGAAAGAGTGGAATTCCTGCATCATAGGGTATATCTATATTCAGCTTTATAACAAACTATCCTACCCTTTTCCAAAATAGCTATACAATTTTACAGAATTACCAATAATGTGTAAGAATATAGGTTGTTCCATATCTTCTCCATCATTTGTTGTTGACAATCTTTTAAAATTTTAATCTAGTCTAATTTCTTGGTGAGAACTTTTTCATGTGTTTATCAGCCATTTATGCACCTTCTTTCTTGGAAACTCTTTAAATCATTATTCTTTTTTTACTGTTATCTTATTATTGTTGAGTTGGAGATTTTTGCACAATCAGCCTTTCCTCAAATCCTCCAGTCTATTACCTGTCCATTTGGTATCTTCTTTTTTTTTCTTTTTTAATCATCTCATTGGGGGCTGTACAACTCTCATCACAATCCACGCACACATCCATTGCACCGAGCACACCTGCACATTTGCTGCCATCATCATTTGTTATCATCTTATAGTACTTTCCAATTTGAAGATAGCTTAATTTATCATATCCAACACCCATTTTTAATTTGACTATTCATTTTTTTCTTTATGAGGTGTTGCCATTTTCTATAGATTTTAGAGATCATTCCCTTGTCTGATATATCATGGCCAAAAAATTTTTTCTAGTCCGTGGATTCTTGCTTAAATTTTTTGATGAAGTTTTTGATGCACACAAATCTTTTCTTTTCAGGAGGCCCCAGTAATCTACTTTATCTGCTGCTGTGTGTGTTTCATTATGCCTGGTAATGTGTTTTGTCCTATACATTAGGGCTCTAGGAGGAGTAGTGGTTAAGTGTAGGGCTGCTAACCTTGAGGTTAGCTGTTCAAAACTACCACTTTGCCAGCAAAAGATAGGGCTTTCTGCTCCTGCAAAGAGTTACAGTCTAAGAAACCCACAGGGGCTGTTCTTCACCGCCTTATAGAGTCACCATGAATCAGAATTGACTCAATGGCAGTGAATTTATGTGTTTGTTTGTTTTGAGGGTCTTTCAATTTGGTCCTATTTTTTCATTGATGATCTTTATAGCTTTAGGGACTACATATTAGTCTTTAATCCTTCTTTCACTTATTTTTGCATATAAAGTAAAGTATGGGTCCTATTTCATTCTTATGCAAATCAAAATTAAAATGTTGCCGGCACCATTTGTTGAACAGACTCTTTCTTCTCCATTAAATGCATTTTGGCTCTTTGTTGAAAATCATTTGTCTGTAGGAGGATGGACTTTTCTGGGTTCTTTAATGTGTCTTATTGATCTATGTATTGATCACGGTTTTGACTACCGTGGCTTTGTGGTAGGTTTCGAGGTTGGGAAGCTAGCGGCCTCTTACTTTATTCTTCTGAAAAATGCTTCATTTATCCCAGCTATCTTTCCTTTCCATAGAAAGTTGGTGATTCGTTTTTCTATTTTTAAAAAATGGTGCTGGTATCTGGATAGGAATTACTTTATATTTAGAGACAGTTCTGTGTACTATTGACATTTTCCCAATATCATGTCTTCCTATCCATGAACATGAAATTTTCTTCCATTTTTTAGAACTCTCTTACTTTCTTGTAATAGTATTTTGTAGTTTTCTTTGTATGCATCCTTCTTTCTCTGGTTAGATTTAGTCCTAAACATTTTATCTTTAGGGTGGCTATTATAAATGGTATTGCTTTCTTGATTTCTTTTTCAGAGGTCTCTTTCTTAATATATGAGTCTAATGGATTTTTATATGTTGATCTTGTACCCTGCCACATTGCCTAATAGTCAAAATCCAAGATTTTCTGGTCAAATCTATGTGGTTTTCCACATATACAATTACATCATCAGCAAATAGACACAATATTATTTCTTCTTTGCCAATTTGGGAGCTTTTGATTATTTGGGTTTTTTTGATCCAATAGCTTGGCTAAGGCTTCCATCAAAATATACAATAAGAATGGTAATAAAGGGCATCCTTGTCTGGTTTCTGTTTACAAGAGAAGTGCTTTCTTCAAGTGAGGGAGAGGTTGACAATTGTTTTTGCATAGATGGCCTGTATTATATTAATTCGTTTTCTTTCTCTTCCTATTTTGTTGACAGATTTTACGAGGAATAAGTGTCATATATTGTCAATAAGAGTCCTATTTTTTTCTGCATAAATTGACATGATCATGTAGTTATTCCCTTTGTTTTATTTTGTATGGTGGATTACATAGTTTTTCTGAAGATGAACCATTCTTGCATACTTACTTCTTCACTGCCATTGAATCAATCATGACTCTTGGTGACCCTATAGGACAAAGTAGACCTGTTCCTGTGAATTTACAAGATTGTAACTATATGGTAGTAGAAAGCCTCATTTTTCTCCCATGGAGCTGGTGGTGGTTTCACACGGCTAACCTTTCAGTTTACAGTACAACAAGTAACTATTACACTACCAGGGATCCTAACTCATCATGGGATATCTGATCTGAATCCCCCTTGATCATGATGTGCTTTGTTGTTGTTTTTGTTGTTGTTATTTTGCTGGGGTCTGAGAAATCTAGAGGAGTAGTGGGTTATGTGTTGGGCTGTGAACAGCAAAATATAAAAGCACCAGCCACGAGGTGGGAGAAAGATGAGGCTTTCTGTTCCCATAAGGAGTTGCAAGCATGGAAGCCCACAGGAGCTGTTCTTTCGTGTCCCTTAGGGTTGTGATAAGTGAGAACTGTCTGGATGGCCGTGAGTTTGGTTTGGTTTTTCTTGGATTCTGTTGGCTAGGAGGTTGTTGAGAAGTTTGACATCCCTATTCATAAGGTGTAATGGTCCATATGTTTCTATTCTGGAAATGTTTTTGTTTAGTTTGGTAGCAGGGTTATGCTGATTTTGTAAAATTAGTTTGGGGAGTTGAATTTGTGTCAGTTCTTCTCGGAATGCTTGCTAGACTTTTCAATTGAAGCTCTTTGGTATTGGACATTTTTCATTCCAAAATTTTAATGGCATGATGTGTTTCTTATTTTGTTATGGGTCTGCTGAAGTTTCTACATCATTCTGTGTTAATGTAGGTAATGGTGTGTGTCTAGGAATTTATTAGTGTGCGGTCTTTTATAGTATTGTGTTGTTATCTATTTTCTTTCAAATTAATCTCTAGTAATGTCACCTATTTCTTGTTTGTGGTATTTGCATTGTCTCCTTTTCCTTTGTTACATTTGACAGTGTTGTTGTTAGATGCCATCAAGTTGCTTCTGATATATAGCAACCCTGTGTACAAGAGAGTGAAACACTGCCCACTCCCGTGCCACCCTCACGGTTTTCCTTTTGTTTGAGGCCATTGTAAGGGCTACTTTGTCAACCCAGGTTGCCAGGGACCTTCCTCTTTTTCAGTGCCTCTACCCTTTGTCAAGTGTCAGGCCCTTCTCCAGATACTGGTCCCTCTTGACAACAGAGCCAAAGTTTACCAGTAGTTCGTTCATTTTGTTAATCCTTTCAAAGAACCAGCTTCTTGCCTTGTTGATTATTTTCTATTGTTTTTCTGTTTTCTGATTCATTTATTTCTGCTCAAATATTTATGCTTTATTTTCTCCTGGTGATCAAAGGTTTATTTTGCTCTTGTAATTATTGAAAATGTTGGGTAAAACTCACTATTTTGGATTTTCCTCCTTGACAGATGTGCGTGTTTATTGCTATAAATTGTCTTCTACACACGTCTTTTGCTTTGCCCAAAGGTTTCTTTATGTTATATTTTCATTCTCATTTATTTTAAAACATTTTAAATTTTCACTACTTATTTCTTCAGTTACATCGTAGGCTTTAAGCTGTGTGTTGTGCAATTTCCATGATCTCCTATTGTTGATTTCTAATTTATACAACTGTGGTCTGCGAAAAGTGTTTAGTGTCCTAATGTTTCTAAGTTTTTTAAGGCTCATTTTGCAGCCTAACATATAGCCCAGTCTAGAAAATGTTCTAGTGTGCACTGGGGAAAATAAATGCATATTGTGCTGATGTTGGGTGGAGTGTTCTGTACATGTCTAAGAGGTCAGTCAAGTCAATGAATTGTGTTATATTCAATCCTACATAGTGATCACATAGCAACGGATTGAATGGTGGCCCCTGCCTCCTAGGTGAAGATGTGGAGTTGGCCGCATCATGTGGGAAGAGTTGACCCCATCAGATGGAGTAAACAGGGATAGTAACTAACAAATCAAAACATAAACTACATAAACATGCACACAAGTAACAAAACCAACAACCTTCCCCCATGCACACGTGCAAACACCCAAGCCAAAACTCACCGCTGCTCTCTCTCCTTCAGCCACCAGTGTGTGCTGGGGAAGGGCCTGCACAGGTTGTACACAACAGAATGCCAGTCTAGCGGGCATAGCATGACTTCTCTGGTCAAGAGATGATTGTGGGAAGAAAGGGATGATTCCACTTCTGTTTTCCACATCACTGCACTTGTGCTTTACCCAAGCAACAAAAGAACAGGGAGAAAAACATAAATAGAAATCCGAAATCTAAATTGACCACTACTTTTTATCCAGACCTTCTCTCTGCAGCTGAGTCTGTGGTTGCCAATCATTATGCTCAGCAGGATTGTTCTATCCTTCTGTGGCAGCATGATAGTTTAACCAATCAAAAGCAAAAGGAATTAAAACCAAACACAAACAAACCCTCAGCCTGTCCTCCCACTCTGGATCTACGATAACCCCAGGTTACTGCCCAGGGTGAGACAGGCTGTGTAAGCTGAGTGCTGGAGGCCAGGGCTAAGTGGTAAATCCCAGCCTTCACTGCCACCCTTCCAAGAAGGCACTTGTGGACCGTTGTCCCCTCCAGCCTCTGGGGTGGGGTGGGGAGGTGTGAAGACCAGTGTGATTAGGTTTTGCCTGCCTTAGTCTCCCATGTTATACAGTGATTCAGTCGGGTCTGCCCTTCTCTCAGAGGACACACGCCTTGCTGGGGATGCGCAGGTGTGGGGAATATGGAGTTGGTCCACCTCTCTCAGCTAGGTGCTCCACAGGTCGTTCTGCACTGGGAGGGGTTACTTGACATATGGTTGATCATTTAAGAATTAGCTGTTCCTCTTGAGCTCTCTGTGTGATTTCCACCCTTTAATTTTCTTTGTGGTTTTTAGCTTATTTTTTTAATTCCTTAGAGATTCATGGCCTGAGATTTTCCTCAGTATATGATTTTTCACATATTTTTTGAAGACTCCACACAGAACATCTGTCTAAGGTGCCATCGTCACTGGGAGTCATACTTAATTTTAAAATAGATATTGCTGATTTTGGTAGGGATATTATAACTATGTTAATGGCAGATTTTAGAGTGGTTTTTGTAATGTCCTTTTAATTTTTTCAATACTAATATTTGTCTTTCTAAATCAGTTGAGACAAATTTCCTTTTCTACATTTTTTTAAGTTAAACTATTTTTGCAATCAAAGCTATTTCTTTTTTTCCTAATCTATGACAAAATTCACAAAGGAAACTATCTGTGCCTTGAAAGTTTTATGTGGTTTTAGAGGGCCCCAAGTGTGATAAACAATTCAATTTTTTACTAGATATTGTGTTATCCAAATTACCTGTGTAATTTTCAGTTTAAATTATAGTTTCATTGCACTTAAGTTGCCAGAATTTTCATGTGAAGTCTTTGAAATAATCATCTTATTATTGTCTTAATAGCTGACATATTTTATTGATAACCCTTCTCACATTTGTAATATTGGTAATTTAAGTTCTCCCTCTTTTTTGTCTTTATCAAATAACTAAAATTTGGCTCTACTAATTATTTCTTTTTTATATCACTGATTCTTTTATGTTTCTATTGTTTTAAATGTGTAAGTAATTTAAGTTATATTATTTCCTCTAGCCACTATTTGAAATTCATCTTACAAATTTGGAGATGTTGTGTTTTTATTATCATTCAGTTCAAAATATTTAAAAATGTCGAATACTAATGTATAACTTTTTTCATATGTATTTTTCAATTAACAGATAATAAAATCATGTGCTATTTAATTTCTGGTTCTTAGAGGGTGGTAGATATCATTCTGCTACTCATTTTGAGTTTATTGCATTATTTCTTGAGGATATACTTCGAAGTCCATGCATTTAACATTTTTCATTTTAACTTGGGTTTTGGTCAAAATACGGTTCCTCTTGATGAACAACAGGACACTCTTGGTAACCATAGAGTGTACACGTGAGGAGACTGTGTATTTCACAGTCTGTTCTAGAAATCCCTAATTAAATCAAATCCTTAATATAATATTTTAGATTTTCTGTTTTTATTATTTTTTTACCCTGCCCCAAGGATCTATTTCCTTGTCAATTGGTGAGACTATAAATGGAATTGTTTCAAAATATTGGCAAGTGCTTTTACCATGAGATTAAGGATAATTTATTCTGTACGTTTCTGTATTTCTAAATGGACTATAACTAATACATAATGATGTTATCTAAAAGTGTAACTATTGGGCAGTATATATAAATATAAATATATTTGTAGATATATCTGTCATGTTTCAAAAACTTTTGCGTTAATTTGGACACTAAGGCAAGAGGTTTTTCTCTTTTATTAATGAGAGTTTCCATCTTTATTAGTCTCTCCCAAAACTTAATCAGATACTCATATACTTCTGGGCATACTATAAGCTTGAAAATTAAAACACTTTAAATTTCTCAGGCAAGAGATTTTTCAATTAGACGCAATTTTTCTCCATTCTTACTAAAATGTTATTGTGCTAAACTTGCTTGGATTTCTTTTTCTTTATTTTTATTTTTTGTGTTCATAAAGTCATGCAATGTAGATAAAAGGGCTTTCCTTATGATTGTGTTTGTTTTTCTGTACTTTGGGGAGAAGCAGGCCTTGTTGAAATTTGAACATCACCTGGTAGTACCTCCCTCACATGACTGCCCTTTCAGGAATCTTGGAGGCATAGTAAAGACACCTACCATTCTGCCTTCTTTTCCAGAGAACTCCTATCCTCAAATTACAGTGAAATCTACTCTTCCACAAAAGGAGAGATGATTCGGCATCCTCAAATCACGGTATTTGGGGGAACTTTTCTATCATTCTTCTTTGAAATAACTATATTCTGGTATCATTTTTTAAATTCCATGCCACCTTTACGAGCAACTTCAGAAAGTGCTGTATGTAAAATGAGTCACGAAGTGATTGTCTTAATTGAAGGATCCTAGAATAAGAGAGCTAATCCTAAGGGCCTAAAACGAAACTCATCCATCCTTGTATTTTCATGTAGTAATGCCTTCTATGCACTCACTCAGTACCTGTTCATTGTCTTCAATCCATAGCCACATCACAATGGAAAGTTAAACTGTTCTATAGGATTTCTGAGATGATAAATCATTTCAGGATCAGAGAGACTCTTTTTTTTCTCACAGAGCAGCTGTTGGGTTTGAACTGCCTACTTTGTGGATAGCAGCTCTATGCTACAGTACAGTGCCACCGCTGACTGTGGTGTTAATTCTTAGGGAAGGGTGAAGCAAGACACAAAAGAAATATAAGGCATATTGACAAAGTTGTAATCAAATTAAATGGCTAAAACCTAAAGATATGGAACTATTAAAAACTCTTCTAGAGAACGGAGTCTTCTTTTATTGGTGTCTCCTTGCCTAGTCCCTCTGATACACCAATACTGAAGCCTTCTTTGAATCTTCAAAATTATTTTTTCATTTATCCTATTTTTATACCCTAATCCCTCTTCTGAGGAAATGCTTTCTGTAACCTTTTAACCAAAGCCAACATTGTTTTTTTACTGTCATATATAAAGTTTAAAACCATATTCAGGTACCTAAAGCATTTTTCAACTTCTATGAATGTTAAGCGATCTTGCAATCTTCCAAAAATACAGCATATGAAAGCATTGTTCTATGTAGAGGGTGGGACTGATCTGTCAACGTAATGGAGAACTATAGAAGATATAAGAGGAGTAAGGAGTTAAGAGGGCTAGCAATGTTGGGAAGACTATTTAACTGATGGGATTTCCATGGACAATATACTAGGTTGGGAATAATAATGATGCCACTTGATTAACAACAACAACAACAACAGCAAAACCCACTCACTGCCATCAAATCAATTTTGACTCAGAGCAACCTGGTAGGCCAGAGTGGAACTGCCCCGTGTTTTGCAATCCTGTAAATCTTTAAGGGAGTAGAGAGCTTCCTCTTTCTCCTGCATAGCAGCTGGTAGTTTAGAACTGCTGACCTTGCAGTTAGCAAACCAGTACATAACCCGTGTGCCACCAGGTGCAGGAAGAAACAGAACAGAAGACCATGAAGGGATATGGGCGAAGAGTGAAACCTAATTATAGAGGTCATCACGAGCAGGCAAAAATAGTAAAAACTATAATATTCAAATATTTCATATTAAATTTTACATGGACTAAAAGAATATCTCTAAAGCATTAGTAACATTTCTAGAATTGATAGTTGATAAGTTTTGGTGTCAAGAATCCATTTACTGATCTATATAAAGAAATCATGCATCTAAGATAAAATATTTCAGAAAGGACTCTATCGCAGACCTGTTTCCCAATAAATGAGTGCAATGAATGAATTAATCTAAATAAAATCTATTGAAATGAAATGCGGGTACACTCTCCACAAAAATATGTGCAAATTCATGCTTGTACTGATCTCTAGATCATGCCAATATTTATACTTGTAATAACTGCCTCTTTATCTATTTTAGGAACATTGTTTTTACCAAGGATCCATCACACATGTAGTAGATTCTGCGCTCAGTATCAGTACATGTAATGGTCTGAGGTAAGGGAGTATATATATATTTCCTTTATGAGTTTTTCTGGAAATTAAAAAAAAGTACACCTCATTTCTTACCTTTCAGATTCTCTTAATCCATTACCTTCTAATAGATTCCAACTCACAGTCACCCTATAGGATAGAGCTTTAGTGGAAGCAGACTGCTACCTCCCTATAAGCAGCCAACAACCCCACGGCTCCTTTTCAGAAACCCTAGTAAAAAGGAAAAAAATACTGAGAGGTGCTCTACATCCTCACCAATACCTGTAAATTCTGGCCCACTGTTTAATGTTCTTGATTGATGCAAAGAACCCTATTTTAAATATTGTCTTATTTTCTTTGTTACTGGGAGTTGGTGATGTTGGTGATAATTCACCACCCAAACAAGAGGAGTTTAGCAGCATAGGATTATGGGACTCAGAGTGAGACGCCTCCTGGAAATCATCAAGCTTTGAGTTGCAATGGTTGCAAGGATGGTCCAGAGCCAAGCAGTGCTTCATTCTGTTGCCTGTAAACAGACAGACAGACAGACAACAATAACAAAATACTTACTGCCATCCGGTTGGTTCTAATTCATAGCAGGCCTGTAGGGTAGAGTAGAATTGCTCCTGTGGTTTTCTGCAACTAAATCTTTACAGGAGCAGAAAGCTTCCTCTTTCTCCTGAGGAGCAGCTGGTAATTCGGAGCAGCTGACTTTGCAATCAGCGGCCCAGGGTCCCTTTCTGTTGTCCATAAGGTTGCTGTAAGTCAAAACTCACTTAACAGCATCTAACAGAATGGTTGATTCTGCAAACCAGGCTTCCTGACAGGCTGAGAATTCCCTCACAACATCATAGTGCTTTACAGCTGTATACTAAACCAGGCAGCATGTCCAGTCACTGAAATTAAAATTTAGCGTCAAAGCCTATGGTTCCCTATTTATTGGGGTTTCAAGAAGAAAGGAAGAAGATGGGGGAAGGCAAGGGGAGAAGAGAAGGAAACTTCTCTCTGCCTTTAAAACGACTGGACTTCAGTAGTCCTACATCTTTTCAGGAATGGGAACCCTTCAATGATAAACATATCGCACAGTGGTGTTTGCTTTCATATTATTAATCCATAATCAATGCATGGGGGGCATGGGAATTCACCAATTACTTGCAAGAACTCAGAGCCTGCCAGGGTTCCACATGCACAAGCAGCAAATAGTCCTTTGTACCCATACTTCAAAGTAGAAATGTGTCTATTTAACTTCTGGAAGTCGAAAGAAGTTTACTATCAGAAAAAGTTATTAATTTGGCCAAAGGCCACATAACATACAATATTTTTTACCCCCCTGGGCACTAGACTAGATTCTCATGAGCATCTGTCCATGTATCCTTTCTCCTTTTGCTATCTTTCTTTCCTCATCTTCTTCCTCATCTTCCTGCTCTTCCTCCTCCTCTTTTTCTTTCCTTTCCTTAAAAACAAAATATTATTGTGTTTTCAGTGAAATCTCACACAGCAAATTAGGTTCCCAGTTGTCAATTTCTACACACATTATTCAGGGGTATCTCACATAATACGTCAACATTCTCATTAATTGCATTCTCCTTGTTCTTCATTATTTCTATCTTGGAAAGGTAAATCAATAAGGTATAGAATAGTTACAGATTTTGAATACATTTTCTGATTTCCATTTCTGTAGGGGATTCTTCAGGCTGAAAGAACAAAGGTACCTCATTGAACCGGTGAAATACACAGATGAAGGCGAGCATTTGGTGTTCAGATATAACCCGAAGGTGCATTATGCCGCCAATTATTCCTGCACGGAGCTCAATTTTACCAAGAACGCGGTCCCAAATACTAAGTCTATGCAAAACAAAATGGAAGTGAGTGCTTTACTTTTAAGTCATATGTCCCTATGAAGAATACTTATGTCCTTTATGATCTTAAAATACAGCCTAGAAGCCCAGCTGATTAAATGTGTATTGTATCCAGAGTCGGGCAATTTATTGCCTGAAATCAGAAATGTCAATTTTGTTTTGTTTTTGCTTTTGATGTAGAAAGTGTTCTTTCTCTATAGTAAATCTAATTTCATTTCACTGATATAGAAGAAGATATTTTTCTAAATTCTTACATATAGGTTTATAACTTTAAGATTGTTAGAGATAACAACATTTGAAATGTTCTGAAACCTGTTTTAAAAATTGTCTTATTTTCTATGTTGCTGGGAGTTAGTGATATTGGGGATAAGCCATGGTCTCACCTTTTCATTAAGCCAAATGTTGTAACTGGTTAAAAACAATGAAGGGTAATAACCAGTTGAATTTCTGATGTGGTATCCACATATATGAATCCTTCCTTTGTTTCTCTGTACAACTAGTTCATTTATCCTTCAATTTTCAGCATGCTAATGACACTGGCCATATTCAGAACAGTGTCTGCAAGGTACCATATACCTAATGAATGTCTACTGAATGAACAGATCTATGAAAGAATGATTATCTAGTCCATAAAGTAATGACTTATTTCAAATCTTTTGGTAACATACTTTTGATGTTTACTAAGTTGATTATTTGTATGCATGTTCATTGGAAGCTAATAATGTACAGAAATTTCTTTGTATTGGTGTTTGATAAGAATTAAAGGCTGCTCACATGCAGCATTTCTACAAGTTCTCCTGGAGGAGAGACCACTGTGAAGTAGAGGCTGGGAGGAAGGGGGAGAAATAGAGGTGCTGTCAATCCCA